TTTTTTTTTTCATAATTTGTTTGTTTCCTTTGGTCTTGAAAAGCCCATTGGGGGAGTGGTCAATTAAGATGTTTATTTTATTTAAAACTACCTGGAAATTGGAAATAGAGTTTTGTGAACTGATTTTGAGCACAGAAAAGGATGATGTTTAGCTGTGGTTTTATCACATCATTGAATAGTGATGATTGCAGTGCTTGTTTGAGTACTTTTCAACGTTTTTTTTTTCTTTTGTCTGATCAGGTGCTTCAGAAATGTTGATGGCCAATGCAGTATCGCAGCTTGCTGCTAAGACACCGGGGAAAGAAGCTGCAGCTATGGAGGCCTTTGCAGCTGCCCTGAGACAGGTACAAGTCAAGCCTGCAAACGGGTTCTCAGGGAGCCCGAACACAGCGAGGGAACCTCCCCTGTCCCACCCCAATCGCTTGGCTCTCCAAATTCTTCAGTTTCACACTCGTCTGCTCGCTCCGCTTGCCAATTTTTTTACAAGTCTAGGCTAGTACAAGTCAAACTGTATCACTATCTGCATGTACCTGCATGATAAGAATGCCAGAACTTTGATACTGATTGTTACTTAACAACATATAACCCCGCAGTTACACTCCTTGGCCCTTTATCCAAACATCTCATCTGTGTGGCGTGGGTAGAACTGTGTTCCACACTTTTAACATCATTTTTTACTGGGAAGTTTACAATATTGTTTACAGAGCAAGTGTTGATATATTCTTTATGTGTATTTTCTCTTCAGCTACCCACCATCATTGCAGATAATGCAGGTTACGACAGCGCTGATTTGGTCGCTAAACTTCGAGCTGCTCATACGGAAGGAAAGAAAACCTATGGACTGGGTAAACAATTTGTTACACAAAACTTGAGCATTTGTTAGCAGTGTGATTCATTTTACCGTAATGAGCTCTCAAGACTTGTAGCAACAACAGAAAAAATTGTAGTAAAGCACCTTCGCCGTGTTTATTTATGTTATGGAAGATCAACACTATTTTAATTTATTTTCCAAGCTATCTGATGTGCAGCAGTTTTGCTGTTAGTAAATGGGTATATTTGCTTTTAGTTTTTGTATCTTCTCTCTTTCCCATGTGTTAGTTCGATGTAAATTATGTTACTTTTGTTTTCTCCTTTGCTTTCCTTTACCTCTGATTAACCAGCAGTCAGCTCAAAAGCGTGTATTTCTTATTTGTATAACCTACATTATTTTTCTACTGTTTCTGTATTTTTTTTTTCCTCCGTAGTCAAAGCAGTATAAATAAAATAGTGTCATTTTGTTTGATTGATTTTAGACATGACTCACGGCCGTATCGGAGACATGGTTGAGATGGGCGTGACCGAGTCGTACCAGGTCAAGAAACAAGTCCTAACATCAGCGGCTGAGGCAGCGGAGATGATTGTAAGAGTCGATAACATCGTGAAGGCTGCTCCACGGTAAGAAACTGGTCTGTCTGGCGCTAGGTTGATCACTAGCGCCCAGAAGACTTCCTTGTACACACCCTTGTGCTCTTTTATGCTGGTGGCCGGTAAGGCAGTCCGAGTTCAAGTGAAATTGAACCTTATGGAGGTGTCATCAGGAATAACAAAAATTATTGTGTGCACTTTCGCTAAACGATTGTGTTTACTTGTACTGTATTTGAGGCTGATGTGATACCTGATCTATAGTACACCACGAACTGCAACTAAGAGTCCTGGCTTTTGTCACTAAGTCGTGCTACCTTCAGTTAGTTTTCAATCTGTAAGTACAAAACATTTCTCTTCAAGAGAAAGGAAACTACAGATTGGCAAATCAGTAAGATGAAGAAAACATTAAGGGTGTTCATAAGCCAAAAAGGAACGAAAATTTTTGAGATCGTGGGAGCTCGAGAAGGATTTTGAATATGTGCCAGTGGACGCTCAAACTGGTGTTTGTAGCCCCTTTCTAATGAAGGTTTTCTTTGTGTTTATTCACAGGCCCAGGCGAGATGACCATCCTCACCCATAGATATCAAGATGTAGCGGAATGGAGTTTTCTGAAACTACAGCATGCAGACTAAATTATATCTCTTGTGCAGACAAATTATTTGCGTTGCAATTCCGTTTTGCAGGGAAAACAAAGCAAATTGGAGGCACAGAAAGTTCCCTTCACTCTGGTCTTTCGTAAAAAGAGCAGCTGTAGTATTTCCGAATCATTACTCGGAGTGAGTCACAGCTGTAAAGACTGAGAGAGAACATTTTTATTAGACNACAAAAATTATTGTGTGCACTTTCGCTAAACGATTGTGTTTACTTGTACTGTATTTGAGGCTGATGTGATGCTGATCTGTAGTACAGCACGAACTGAAACTAAGAGTCCTCGCTTTTGTCACTAAGTCGTGCCTACCTTCAGTTAGTTTTCAAATCTTTAAGTACAAAACATTTCTCTTCAAGAGAAAGGAAACTACAGATTGGCAAATCAGTAAGATGAAGAAAACACTAAGGGTGTTCATAAGCCAAAAAGGAACGAAGATTTTTGAGATCGTGGGAGTTCGAGAAGGATTTTGAATATGTGCCAGTGGACTCTCAAACTCGTGTTTGTAGCCCCTTTCTAACGAAGTTTTTCTTTGTTTTTATTTACAGGCCCAGGCGAGATGACCATCCTCACCCATAGAGATCAAGATGTAGCGGAGTGGAGTTTTCTGAAACTACAGCATGCAGGCTAAATTATCTCTCTTGTGCAGACAAATTATTTGCGTTGCAATTCCGTTTTGTAGGGAAAACAAAGCAAATTGGAAGCACAGAAAGTTCCCTTCACTCTGGTCTTTCGTAAAAAGAGCAGCTGTAGTATTTCCGAATCATTACTCGGAGTGAGTCACAGCTGTAAAGACTGAGAGAGAACATTTTTATTAGACTAGTTTCCTTGTGTGAAAGGTTTGCACGAGCTTTGCATTATAATCAACTCACTGCCGACCAGAATGCTTCATGGCTGTCACTTGAGATCACATCACGGACTGTAGTGAAAAAATAAAGCTCTAATCAAATCAACATGATTGATTCAGTAATGTATGGTATCCTGCGGAAACGATTTCCAACCATACCACCATAAACGTACAATACATGCGAAAGAAAATCTTCCCTGTACAAAAAAGCTGGTCAAATCAGTTCCATTTTTTGCCGGATTTATTTCCTCCCGCCCCAACTAACTGCTCCTCGGTCACCGAAGAAGGTTAAATCGCTGTCTTTCGTGCTTCGCCTGTGAGACTATATGTCTGAAAATCGACTGGAACGCCAAGACAACTGTTTTCAGAGCTCAGATGTGAT